TATACTAAAATAATCAAATTTTGTTAATAAACTCATGTTCGCAAATCTGCACTTTAAGCATTAGAGTGGCTTTTCATTCAACACTGCATTCAATATGAATTTCAACAAGGAAAAAATGCCGCTAAACCATATGAATACATTTATTACAGTCGATAATCGAATGTTCGTCCGACAAAATTGAGGAGAAAAGATCATTTATTAGATGTGTTTATTAATTCGTGCCGTCCAACTTTGCACAAATACATGTATATAAACCATTTGATTTTAAGTTATTGTCACGTCCTTCTGCTACTTCAAGATATTGAAATTCAAGGTTAAAATATGCAATGTAGTTTAATATTTAAACAACATAATTTTAAAAATCAGTAGTAAATATCATAGCTTACAAATAAAGAGCATATTCAATACTACATGCGTTTTGCATTGAATCTTAATAAAAATGCTTCTGAAGCAGTTGAAATGAATCTTAATAAAAATGCTTCTGAAGCAGTTGAAATAATTTGTTCCGCCTACGGAGAAGGTGCAGTGAGTGAAAGAACGTGCAGAAAATGGTTTAGTCGTTTTCGAGACGGTGATTTCAATGTTGACAATCAACTATGTGCTAGGCAGCCTCTTAAGTTTGAAAACGATAAACTGCAGGCGCTACTTGATGAGAACCCGACTCAAACACAAAAAGAACTTGCTGAACGGCTAGGAGTAACGCAACCAACATTTTCGATTTAACTGCACCAGCTCGGAAAAATTCACAAAGAAGGAAAGTGGGTTCCATATGAGCTGACTGCTGACAACAAAAGTTGTCGATTGACCAAGTGCATTTCTTTGTTCACCAGAATACAAAAAAAAGATTTTTTACATAAAATCATAACTGGCGGTGAAAAATGGATTATGTGCAATAATTTTAACCGCAAAAAATCATGGATCCTAATCAACCGACAATATCAACAACAAAACCTAAACGCTTCGGCAAAATGTTCTTCTTTGCATTTGGTGAGACCAGAAGGGTGTGCTGTATTGTGAGCTCCTCGGTCAGACAATTAAAGCAGAGCTCTACCAACAACAATCACTCTGTTTGAACAACTGAGAAAAAACAGTCATTTATTAGACAAGGTAGTCGTAAGGTCATCTTGCTCCATGACAATGCTGAGCCGCACACAACAGAAACCATGCAGGAAACCATCATAAATTTAGGCTTTGGAAATTCTTCCTCACGCGCCGTATTTGTTGGACGTAGCCCCTTCAGACTATCACTTATTTCGGTCGATAAAACATTCCTTATCGGATAAACATTTCAACTCAATTGAAGACGTTGGAAATTTCGTCGATCGCTTCAAAACCACCAAGTTTCTATCGCAATGGAATTCGAAAGTTGTCCGATAGTTGAGTAAGGTTATCGATGTTAACGGTCAATGATTAATTAATGTATTCATCTTATTGAAAAATAAAGTCGAAGTTTGCAAAGAAACGGCACGAATTAATTTATACGCCAAATATTAGGTAAGGAAGTCGGAAAGTCATTTTGCTACACGACAATGCTATGCTGAACATTGCTCAAACCACTTAACAAACCATCATTAACTTGGGATAGGAAATTCTACATGCAGCGTATTCTTCTAACTTGACCTTAGGATTATCACCTATTTCGATCGATACAGCACTTCTTAGCAGGACAGCACTTTCGAGATGTAGTAGAAATTTGAAAATGATTTGATAAATTCATTACTCCAAAATCAATATCTTTCTGTCGTGAAATAATCCGACAGTTGCCCGAAAAGTGGCAAAAGATTATAGAAAATGAAAGAATATATTTTGAAGATTGATTTGTAAACACTGTATTATATAAGCAAATAAAATTAAAACAAAAAAAAAGACTAAAACTTTTGCATACACCTAATAGAATGACAAGTGGAATCGTTGCTATGAGCAAGTATAGAAAAACTTATAAAAAATAATTCACTGCATTTTGCAAATGTATCAATGCATCTGTTATAATCGCGCATTATCTTATTCTCTTTAGCGCTGCCGAAACATCATCAAAGACGTCTTGACCGCGCTACGGAAGTACACGCGTTACAAGAAAGCACCGCGTTGTACATTCCAATATACGGACTCAGGACGGCACGTGCCCGCCCAACTATTACTAAGATACCCCCTTCCCCCTATGGAGATAATTTAGTTACTATATAAGATCAGCCCCATGTGGGGATACCTTTAACCATCGGGCGCGTCCCCAAGTGGCGTATTGGGGAATGCTCGTAATAGCTTGCTGTGAAGAGTAGGAGGGAAATAAAAATAAAATACCTCCCACGGACCGACAGAATTGTACGCTTGTACGACATGCGTCATGTAAGCAAACTCCCAACCCAAAGTGTTCCATGCCGAGGGGTGAATGGTTATGGGAGTATAAACATTGCAGCCTTAAACGGCCCTTCAGAGAACTGGTGCGACCCCTGGAGTATCATCCGCTTTGTACTTTCCCTCCAAAGGTCTATTAAGTCGCCATATTCATGGTAATAAAAATGAGTGATAGTAACACTTCAATAAACAATACTACAAATTCTATATCCAATTCTCCAACAAATAAATCTAATAAATAGGAGACAAATTCTGATAAGAAGAAAATTTTTATTCAGCAGACTATAAGCAGAAATCTTCTGAGCAGGCCGCGCTCAAACACTATCAGTGGCCTTCCACAAACGGAGCAAACAAAACTTCACAAATCTCTCTAAAAAAGGACAAGATAACTGGAAATAGAACAAGGAAAGAAGTTACCACGAAGAAAAGATTACGCACCAGCCCAGAATCAGAACCACACTATGACAAAAGAAAACAGATTAATTCTGATGGATACTGGTTGAATGCTCCTAATGTATCAACGTCAAACAGATTTGCCAGTCCTAATGAAAACAAGTCCAAGATGAAACACATAGCGAAAAAGTTATCAAGCATCCGCCTATTCTTTGTAGATAAAGTAGCCAACAGTTTCTAATCCAGATATTAAATGAAAAGGCTAAATATAGTTATGAAATTAAAACCTTATGTGCTAAACAGGTCAAAATTCAACCGATATCTACTACACTATATACTACTATTGTTAAAGAGCTACGAGATAGAGGTACCGAATTTCACACGTATAAGCTACAGCAAAAAAAAAGCTTTCGGTACTAAAAAATATGCAATCTTTTAGAAATGTAGAGAAACTCAAAGTTGCTTTAAAAAATTTAGATTATAAACCTACGAACATCTGGAATATAAAAAATAGATTAACAAAACAAACCACTACCAATGTTCTTTATAGATCTTGCGCCACGTCAATCACGTCAATAACAAGACAATCTATGCTGTAGATCATCTCCTACATTGCAAAGTTGTATTTGATGCCCCCAGACCTAAGAGAAATATTCCTCAATATGCCAACTGCCAGAGGTATGGATACACCAAGAAATTTTTCTACCATAAACCAAGATGTGTTAAATGCGCTGAGGAACATCTCATTACAAACTACCCAAGAAAGAAAAGATCGGATCGAGTTAAATGCGTATTATGCAACGGAAACCATCCGGTTAATTATAAAGGATGTTCTGTTTATAAATAAATACAAAAAGCTAAATTTCCTGCCCTTAGGAGTAAAAAGTTAGAGAGCGCTGCTGGAAATACAACCCAATATGATGGCGGCAATAGATAAAATCGGTGACAGACTTTCTTATTCAGATATTGCTCGCAGACACCCTATAATAAAGACGTCTGAAAATGCAAAACATCTACAACACCAATGAGATCTCGGAGATAAATCTCAAACAAATGTACCCACCGTAAGTGTGAATGTAAATCATATGGAAGCTTTACAAGCTATATTAAACTAATTGTTAAAAATAACCAAATTAATTGGTGAACTCATGGCTGAAATTGAGCAAAATTCAATGCCCTGAAATTTGCCATTTGAAATGCTAGTGGGCTCTCCCGACATGTGGATGAACTTAAACTTTTCTTGAACACACATAACATTGATATTATGTTAATCGCTTAAACTCATTTCACAAATAATAGTTACATATGCATTCCTAACTATTGCATTTATTTTACCAATCACCCAGAGGTAATGCTCATGGTGGTACAGCTGTCCTTGTTAAAAACAAAATAAAACATTATCAGGTCAATTCATTTCAAGATAATTTTATTCAGGCTACAAATTATCCTCGAAGACTGGCACGCTCCTATTAATATAACGGCAATTTACTGTCCACCAAGGTATAAAATTAAGGAGAACTATTACAACTTTTTTAACTCCCTTGAAAGTCGCTTCATAGGTGGGGATGATTACAACGTGAAGCACACCCACTGGGGATCCAGACTCACAACAACGAACGGCCGGGAATTGCTCAGTTCCATCAACAGACTTGGGCTTGGTGTCGTATCGTCGGGCCATCCCACATACTGACCAACGGATAGGAAGAAAACTCCAGACCTTATTGACTTCTGCATAACTAAAGACATTTCTAACAATTACATTACATGTAAAACCTGTCTGGAACTATCCTCTAATCACACTCCAGTGCTTGCCATCTTAATAGGAAAGATAGTAATTCAAACAAAAAATGCGTCTTACATACGAGTAAAATAAATTGAGATCTTTTTAAAAATCTTATTAATACCATCCTGAACCCCAATGTAAGATTACAAACAAATAACGATATAATAGACGCAATGGAAATATTCATTACTATCATGCAGAATTCGACTCCTATCGACGAAAGCGTAGAGGTCAGACTTATATTTTCCAAAACAATTTTAGATAAGGTAGCACAAAAAAGACGTATACGGAAAAAGTAGCAATTAACCAAATGTCCTATACTTAAAGCTAAATTAAACCATACTATCGAGGAACTCAGAAAACTTTTGACTAGTGAAAAAAATGATGGGGTTAAATTCTACTTGCAGAAACTAGATGGCACTCTTGCTACTAATTATTCCCTGTGGAAGGCCTCCAAGAAACTTAAGCAACCCATAACAGCGTCCTTACCATTGCATAGAAATGACGGCTCTTGGGCAAGGAGTAATGAAGAGAAAGTTACTACTTTTGCGGAGCATCTGAGCAAAGTTTTTAGTCCGCATCTTTATGATGGGTCACACGAACATCTTGTGGAGATCTTCAAAAACCTCAGTATACCTCAAACCAATCTATCGCCAAGTTCACTAAGCATGAAGTTTTAGCTAAAATTAGAAACTTAGATAGCAAAAAACGCCCGGGTATAATCTGATCACAGGTCGGGTATTAAGGAATTATCCGAATCAAGAATATCTTATTTAACACAAATTTATAACGCTATCCTTAAACTAAATTTTAGTCCACAGTGAAAGGTAGCCCAAATCGCAATAATTCTCAAACCGGATAAAAAGCCTGATGATCCCAAATCACATAGACCTATTAGCTTGCTGCCAATATTGTCCAAGGTTTTAGAATCACTAATTAAGTCCAGACTAATACCCATTATATGGAAAAGAAACCACAAGTTCGGGTTCCGTCAAAAGCATAGCACTATAGAGCAGGTTCATAAAAGCTTATAAGCTCTTATATAACAGGTTATAAGAGATTCGTAAGAACAGGCTTATAAGTAAAATCCATCAGACACTTAAAGGGAAAAAATACTGCTCTGCTGCATTTTTAGACGTCTCCCAAGCGTTTGATGGAATGTGGCATGAAGGTCTTCTATTTAAATAAAACAAAATAAAACTATTTTAATAAAACAAAACTTTCCGGTCGAGTATTACTTGCTACTCAAATCTTACCTGGGGGATCACAGTTTTCTTGTTATGCATGGAACATCTCAAATTGGGTTTTATAGTGTACGAGCTGGGGGGAAGTGCCTCAGGGAAGTGTTCTTGGACCATTATTATACTTGCTCTATACAGCTGATCTTCCTGTAAACACCAACACTACTGTTGGAACGTTTGCTAATAACACGACTATATTAGCCATACATGATGATCTGTTCTTAACCTTAATAGTGTTGCAACGTAGTCTAAGCGATATCTCCAACTAGCTTAAATTGTGAAGAATTAAAGTTAACGAGCTCAAGTCCATTCACGTCACGTTTTCCTTAGGACATTTTAACCGCTCGCCTGTGAAACTAAATAATATATCGATCCCACAAGCTGATTGTGTAAGATATCTTGGACTATACCTTGATAGAAAGCTTATTTGGAAAAACCATATATTTACCAAGAGAAAAGTGCTTGGGCTTCTTCTAAAGAAATTGTATTGGATGATAGGACGGAAATCCCAGCTAAGTCTGACAAACCAAGTATTACTATATAAAGTCATCATCCAACCCATATGGACCTACGGGATATAGCTTTGGGGCACCACTTCGCATTCAAACATAGAAATAATACAAAGATTCCAATCTAAGATCCTACGCATAATAGCTGACGCACCATTTGTGTTAAACGAGATTCTTCACAACAACTTAAATATCCCCTTCGTTAGAAAGGAGATTGCAAATCTAACGAAATCATACAGAGATAGAATATTAAGTCACTCTAACAAACTCGCTAGTCGTTTGGTGATCGTCAAAAATACAGCTCAAAGACTAAAGAAAAGAACTCCCAGTGATTTAATTAAGTGAAATACACGAATTTATTTTGAATGTGCCCATGGGCATATACCTGACAAGACAACGAAATATTCACAAACATTACTGAATATCCTTAATTATGATAGATTGTAATGTTAAATCAGAAGTTAAAAAAAAATTTAAGATCAGCGCCGACCCACGGGCCAGGATCTCCGATACTATACCTCCACATTATCGCGTATCTCGCTTAACGTACACTTCGCACTATCGCGAACCTACTTGGAGCACGTCAGGAACAAGGTCCACTTCCGACATAGAAATAATTGCAACAAAATATTGAGTAAACTATTTTCTTGATGATCTCGGACTTTCAACGGCCGACACCGATCCGCTCAAACCACCTCACCCCGAAAAACCCGTCGCGTCCAAACACCGCGGGCATAACATATCAATGTGTAATGATAAATATCAGTAATTGATTTTTCCCATATTATTATATAGAAAAGTATTAAGATAATATTTTCGAGAAATGTATAAATTTCATAAGATATTTCATATCTTATATTGAATGATGTCAGTATAGAAAATAAAATATCTCAAAAAGTATTCACTTTTTTATGTTTTCTCCCTAGGATTTTCATATGCAGAATAAACAGAGAAATCGAATTGTATTAAAAGTACTATATAATTATATTTTAAAAAATGAAGATGACTTTGAAATAACCTTAAATTATTGACAACACAACGAAGTTAAAGTCACTAAAATATATCCTCTTCCAAACCCTACAACTTTTGTTTAAAACATTTCTTTTTATTTTGCTTTATTTTTATTATATAATACTACAATGACTCAATTTAAATGCTTGACCCAGTATATTTTTTTTTTAATGTAAAGTTTTTAATTTGTAATTTTGACTGTTTAACTCTTAATAATTGCATAATGTATGTAAACTCTTAATAATTGCATAAAGAGGAAAAACATTAAAGGTATATATTATGTTACTCTCAGATGCTAAAAGGAACTCCAAAAATCAATAATTTTTTTCAACGCAACTATAAGGGATGAACAATTTTTTCAAATTACAATGCTTACCACATGGTTTGACGATTGTCTTGATGAAAATAATTATAAAGAATGATAAAAAGTGACCGAGTATAAGATGTCCAAGTACAAGATGTCTCATAAAGCTTCTGAGAACAAGCGTGGCATAGCAGACAGCACATTAGTCTGCTATACAAGGGTGGATCAAATATAAACGAGCCTTTTTAAATTATGCGTCCGTCGGCGGTGTGAGGGGTCAGCAACGTTTTGGATATTGGGGAGGGGGGAGGGTCATGTGGAAGGCAATAATAACGTTGGCGCGCCACGTGCTTCTTACTCTCAGCAGCAATCACGATGAACGAGAAAGAGGTACATCCCGCAGTTACACAACGTGTTATTATTAAGTTTCTCGTCAACGAAAATGTAAATGCTGCTAAAATTCGGCGCCGTTTACTCCTACAATTCGGAGAAAGAACCCTTTCATGGGCTCGGGTGAAGCAGTGGTATAACGAACTTCAGAAAGGACGAAAGCGTGTTGAAAACATTGCCGCTGTTCCCGCACCAGCATCACAGCGCAGAACACCGAGGCTGTTCGAGAACTTATCGAAGGCGACCGACACTTAACTGTTCTTGAAATCTCTCAGGAATTTCAGATCAGCTATGGAAGTGTGCAATCAATCATTCGCAATGAGTTGGGATTTTGAAAAGTGTCAGCTCGTTGGGTTCCAAAGTTGCTGAATGCAGAGAAGAAAGCCGTGCGGCGATAACACAACAAAAATTGGCCGATATGCACTGGACTGTCTTAGAACATCCACTTTACAGCCCAGACCTGTCACCATGCGACTTCCATATGTTTGGGCCACTCAAGGAAGCCCTTGGTGGACAGTGCTTCACAACGAACGAGGAAGTGCAGCAGTTCGTGTGCAACTGGTTTGATACATGTCCGCGAACTTTTTATGCTACCGGGATTAAAGAATTACCAGACCGTTGAAGGAAGTATATAAATAAGATAGGGGACTATGTAGAAAAATAGGCAAAATATAAATTAGAATTGATTTTGAAAAATATATAGTTTTTCTGCAAAAGGCTCGTTTATATTTGATCCACCTTCGTGTATATACAAGGTGGGCCATTTTAATCGACCCAGTCGAATATTTCGA